GGGGAGTGATTTCGACATGAGCCAAGTGAGTGGGTACTGTGTGGACCCATATGCATCTTTTTTTTAAATACGCACAAACCATGAACCACAAATCCCTGGTATTTGCTTGTATTCACTCGGGCCATCGTACCATATTAGCTGACTGCTGTCCTTGGACCGTGATTCCATTCAGATAATAACACAACACCGATTGTTATTTCTCTCTATTTTTAGACTGGCGAGTGATTACGTGTAGTAATGATAACGTCACGTCACAGATCAAAGTGTTTATCAAAGCACAGGTCATTGCGCCGGCCACATTTCAATAGATCATAAAAACATGCTATTGTGTACCAGTTTGCACCCCATCATCTAAACACGGGATGATACACACAACTATCTGATAGCACTCAGGCAATCACTGATCCCTGGGCCGGCAATGAAACAAGTGTACTTGATTGCTACAGCGTTCCGTGGTTTGCCGACCCTTCTTCGAAAACAAGCCCCGATCTCGTGTCCCGATGTAATATGCAGGTGTACAAAACCATGTAGGATCCACTACGCCGGAAACAATTTCCGAATACTTTCGCGAAATGATAATGGTCCGACATGAGTACGAATTTCGTGCAAATGTACCATGCGTTTTTGCATGCGTTTTATACGTGACATGGGACCCATGGGAAGTATGGCGCAATACGATAACTGTGACGCATTAATTTTGGTAATATTTGCTTTCTAATGAATATGCGTGGTTCATTGCGATCGCGTCTACTACACAACTGTATTATTAGTGGAGTTTTTGTCAGACTAACAAACTCGGTCAAGTTTAAATACTTTAATTACTACTATCTATGATAACAGTTTGACGTTAGACGAACAGTGCCACAAACCGTAGCTTCTACTGTAATGCAGTAAAAACGCCAAACAGGAATATTCCCCTGTTTACAAGCCCTATATAGACAAACGCTATTTTTGACAGTCACAAACAAACGAGGCACGAGAAAAGTGCGATGACCAAGATATGATGAACATGCACGTATACAAAGTTTGGCTTCGATTGCATGGAACCAATGTTCAAGTAGGCTAAAGAGACACAAACATCACGCTATCTCCTGTCCCGTTTCATCACCCTTCATAGCAAATATAGGTTACGATGAAGGCAAAGGACGGACTCAATGACGCCGTTTTATACGATTTTGCCGCATTTTGCGTTATCGACAGGTGTATCTCAGTACTTTAGTTTAGTACTGTTAAACGGGAAATTCGTGAAATAGCAAACTGCTAGTCAAAGGATTTCTAAGATGTTAGAACCAGTATTTTCGTCGCCTTGCACGCCAGGTTCATCATACATCATCATGATATATATGTTACAAAGATATAGAACTATAGTGTACGGTCGCATCGACCTTAGCTAGGCAAATCGGTCGCGGCCAACGAGCAGGTGCTTTACTGTCTGTTTGTCTATTTTATTAGGCCCTCTTTATGTATATTAGTTGGTGGTAAGATACCACATTTATTGTACAAATATCCAATATCAGTCGCGAATACCGAACAAAATGTTGAATGCTCTTTCAAAGTGAACTTTTCAACTCGAGAACCATCACATCGTTTAGCTGTGAAAGTTTGGTATTTTTTTCCTGAATTGTAGGAATCTAAAAAAAATGCGTTTCTCAACTCTTCATTTAGTTTCAAAGTCATATTCAAGATGGCTGCCCCAATATAGTAAATATGGGTAAAGTAATCGCTTTTTTTGGATTATCACTTGTACGCCAGCTGGCTGTGATTGTGACACTCTCCTTGAAACCTGCGTGCGTGGTCGATTTTCGTGTATTTTACAAAAGTACATCTTTATTAATATTTATAAAATTTCATGATTCAAACTGAACTAAAATGGAACGTTTTCAAATTACAAGGATACGCTCTGCGCGCGCTGATTTGATTCAACTGCCATTGAAATTTATAAATATTCATAAAAAATGAGACCGCGCTGAGACCATACTAATATCGAACATGACGCGCCATGGCGACATTCTCCTTTATATTAGGGAAAGTGGTTGTAACGTGGGTTGGTGTTAGTTCGATGTCCGTTATTTGATGTATAAAACTGTCAATATTACAACTGATGAATCACTTATATAACCGAAGAAGTATTCCGCAAGACACTGTTTTTCAAAAAGCACCTATTTAATTGCTCCAATCATTTCCACGTCACGGTAGCTACTTCGCCAGTGAAAGTTATTCGTAATTTTCAAATGAGAAGTGTCAGCTCATCGTAAAGAATGTGGAAACTATGTACTGTTACCATAGATATACATGACGTCACAATCCAGGCACCATTACACACTCTGTACATGTAAGCATTGTCATAACAGTCTTCCATTGTCCACACTCATGCGCAACTGACAAGACAGATAACGCCACATGGCGTGATCTCAATTTGTACATCTCGCTGACACTATCATGTTATCTCCACTGAGGATCAATGAACACAGACTTACACGCTAAGGCATGATGACATGTCTCATATATTCTGTGGTCAGTAAGCAAAAAATAAAATTACATGTCGAAAAACGTTTTAACCAGAAAACATATTTACGGGAAATGACATCTATAGACATAATATGAAAATGACATGAAAGAAAAAAATGGCGTACTCGTCAGATTTCCAATTTCGCCAGATTTCAGGAACAGCGGCCTGTAGATGAAAGCACCACAATATTATCATTTCTGACTAACAGCAAGTTGTATATTTTCCCGACTTTAGTGAAGCTTACTTCGCTAAGTAGTTGCTTAAACTGTTCAAATAGATGTCAAAATATTACATATATCATGGTCACGTGATATATGACATTCTGCCTATCGCGTGATATATATATATCTATATTCCTATTGGTGGGGGGTACACTTTGTTTTTAATCTTTCACAGGATTAACATTGTTTCAGCATGGATCCGAAAAGCATCTTCCGTGTGGCAATTCTCGTCAGCTTTGTTGTCGCTTCTTGTGGTCGTGAGTACTAAAACATATTTAAACATGTACATTGACATACACGAAATACTAGCATAGATAGATTCGAAGGCGTTTTACCGTCTCCAGTTTTCCCCCATTATGTGATCGTCTTGCATTTAGCCATACGTACCAATATATCACAATGCTGCTGCATTGTTGGAATAAACCATCGTTTAAATCACAAAAATGAGTAAGTGGCATCATGACGAGACTTCCATGATGTCTTAGCCATGTTACCAAAATGTACGTAATGCAATGCGTGCGTACACCAATATCATGTTCGCGAATAGTTATTGCCGACTATGTACACTTTCTTATGGACAAATCGCAATGGTTAATCCCCCATGATCGAATCTTATCAGATGTAACGTAATCTTTAAAATCAATCTTGATAATGAATGTAACATGGCCGAAGATGAGTATTCGTCGCCGTGAAACGAAAATATTCTGAGTAGAATTGGGAGGATTTCAATTGTAACATGTATCACTGATGATTAGGGTAGCTTCTCATTGAATAGTATGCACATAACTAGGTGTTCAATTAGAAAAGTAAGTAATTTGTCAATATTTTCATAGTGAATTGTTGACAGTGCTCAACTCCGTCTAAATAATGTTCATATCTGCGTGATAGTAAACAGTGTAATCATTGCTTCCCAGTCCTCACCCGGCCAGCATTCAGTAACCAATCTCTGACAAAAATACTTGCATTACTAGTTCATGCACCAGCATATGTAACAGAAGGAGACATTACAGAGTAAAGCAGTAATAATTATCTACAAGAGATTGTTTAAATAACGATAAACAATGTAAAAGGTCCGCAGAGCATGATGGGAAATGCTATAGTCACTGCTGTCACTCATTTCGGCACATTTCATTTCATAATCACAATTGCTTCCACCCAAATATGATCTCCACAAAATTCCTATACTTTTCTATCAACATATTACTATGATATTTGTTTTGTTTCTTTTTTATACGTTTTTGAGATGTGTTTGTCTCCAAAGTTGTACTATTTGTCCACTAAACACAATTTGTTTGTGTTTGTACATTCTGACGTGACAAATCGGCGGAATGTCGGTATTTTCTTCCGCTAGTCCGTCAAAATTGAGAATGCCATATAATAAAGTATAACAAATACAATACAGAGTAATGTGTGACCTGTACATGTTAAATACGTAGAGATGACACACCAACAAATCTGTTTCTGCTTATTTATTGGTTGTTTCAGTTGTCAGACGCATGCGCAGTAGTCTTTGCATTAACCTAAACAAAATAATGACAGGGATATTTGAACATTTGTATACAATAATTAATGACACGATGCATTTTCTTAGATTAAAGTATCGTTCAAAATTAGTGATATAATACACCCAACTGTGTAAAATGTTATGGGTATAATCCGTTTCACAAATACATTTTTAAGACAGAGCCGAGATGTACACTCATCTATCAGCACGGTTATCCTTTAGTAGTTTTTGCATTTAAGAAGATTTGTTGATTTTCAAAATTTTCCTTTTTTTTTCTAGTATAAGTCGGTGGTCATTGTACGATTTCTCGTAGGTTTATAATTCTAAATGGCCAAGAGTAGAATGTTGTGAACCTCACGAAGCTCTTCTATCCAATTGACATTTTACCGTACATCTTATAGCGCCCCGGAAAAACAAATGCTTCACGAACGAACAACATCAGTAATTATGGTATTTACTCGAACTACGCATTATTTATACAATGTCTATGCCCCGTATACACTGGCAATAAAGCCATAATGATATTGACATGTGACACTAATACATCTAGCTGTGACGATGCTGTCATGTGTCATTACACTAGAAGACCTAGCTGTTACGATGTGTCAGTACGCTAGAATCTCTAACTGTAATGATGCTGACATGTTTTAGTACACTTATACACCTAGCTTTAACGATGTTTACTACGTGTCAGTACACTGAGATACCTAATTGTAATGATGTTTACAATGTGTCAGTCGACTAGGACACCTAACTGGATAATGACATGTGGCAGTACAACAGGACACCTAACTGTAACGATACTGACATGTGTCAGTATAACAGGGCACCTAACTGTAACAATACTGACAAATGTCAGTACAACAGGACACCTAACTGTAACGATACTGACATGTGTCAGTACACTAGAACACTTAACTGTAACGACACTGACAGGTGTCAGTACACTAGAACACTTAACTGTAATGATACTGACATGTGTCAGTACACTAGGACACTTAACTGTAACGATACTGACATATGTCAGTACAACAGGACACTTAACTGTAACGATACTGACATATGTCAGTACAACAGGACACTTAACTGTAACGATACTGACATATGTCAGTACAACAGGATACTTAACTGTAATGATATTGACATGTGTCAGTACACTGGGACACTTAACTGTAACGATACTGACATGTGTCAGTACAACAGGACACTTAACTGTAACGATACTGACTTGTGTCAGTACAACAGGACACTTAACCGTAACGATACTGACATGTGTCAGTACACTAGGACACTTAACTGTAACGACACTGACATGTGTCAGTATAACGGGACACCTAACTGTAGCGACACTGACATGTGTCAGTACACTAGGACGCTCAACTGTAACGATACTGACATGTGTCAGTACACTAGTAATCTTAACTGTAACGATACTGACATGTGTCAGTACAACACGACACCTAACTGTAACAATATTGACATGTGTCAGTACAACACGAAACATAACTATTACGATACTGACATGTGTCAGTACACTATGACACTTAACTGTAACGATACTGACATGTGTCAGTACAACACGAAACTTAACTATTACGATAATGACATGTGTCAGTACACTAGGACACTTAACCGTAACGATACTGACATGTGTCAGTACACTAGAACACTTAACTGTAACGATACTGACATGTGTCAGTACAACAGGACACTTAACTGTAATGATACTGACATGTGTCAGTACACTAGAACACTTAACTGTAACGATACTGACATGTGTCAGTACACTAGGACACTTAACTGTAACGATACTGACATGTGTCAGTGGACTAGGATATTTAACTGTATTGGTACTGACATGTGTCAGTACACTAGGACACTTAACCGTAACGAAACTGACATGTGTCAGTCAGTACAACAGGACACTTAACTGTAACGATACTGACATGTGTCAGTACACTAGAACACTTAACTGTAACGATACTGACATGTGTCAGTACAACAGAACACTTAACTGTAACGATACTGACATGTGTCAGTACACTATGACACTTAACTGTAACGATACTGACATGTGTCAGTACACTATGACACTTAACTGTAACGATACTGACATGTGTCAGTACAACACGAAACTTAACTATTACGGTAATGACATGTGTCAGTACACTATGACACTTAACTGTAACAATATTGACATGTGTCATTACAACACGAAACTTAACTATTACGATAATGACATGTGTCAGTACACTAGGACACTTAACTGTAACGATACTGATATGTGACAGTACACTAGGACACTTAACTGTAACGATACTGACATGTGTCAGTACACTAGGACACTTACCTATGACGATACTGACATGTGTCAGTGCACTATGATATTTAACTGTAACGATAATGACATGTGTCAGTACAACAGGACACTTAACTGTAACGATACTGACATGTGTCAGTGGACTAGGATATTTAACTGTAACGGTACTGACATGTGTCAGTACACTAGGACACTTAACCGTAACGAAACTGACATATGTTAGTCAGTACAACAGAACACTTAACTGTAACGATACTGACATGTGTCAGTACACTAGAACACTTAACTGTAACGATACTGACATGTGTCAGTACAACAGGACACTTAACTGTAACGATACTGACATTTGTCAGTACAACACGACACTTAACTATAACGATACTGACATGTGTCAGTGCACTAGGATATTTAACTGTAAAGATACTGAAATGTGTCAGTGCACTAGGATATTTAACTGTAACGATACTGACATGTGTCAGTACTCTAGGACACTTAACTGTAACGATACTGACATGTGTCAGTACACTAGAACACTTAACTGTAACGATACTGACATGTGTCAGTGCACTAGGATATTTAACTGTAACGATACTGACATGTGTCAGTACAACAGGACACTTAACTGTAACGATACTGACATTTGTCAGTACAACACGACACTTAACTATGACGATACTGACATGTGTCAGTGCACTAGGATATTTAACTGTAACGATACTGACATGTGTCAGTGCAGCAGGACACTTAACTGTAACGATACTGACATGTGTCAGTACACTAGGACACTAGGATAGTTAACTGTAACACTGATATGATGTGAACAAATAATTCATGTACATATATTTCTCTTTATACAGTATTATTCGGTGACAGCTGTGATCCAGAAGATACGCCACATGTTTGGTTAGGTGAGTCATTCACAATCACAATCTTTTGTACGTGTCACGTAATTATTGATATTAGATACTTCATGTGTTTTTTTATCTGGCACAAAACATTTGTTTGGAACGAAAGTATATGCAAAAGACAAATTTGTATATTTTCTATAAAAATCAGTGTTAGGACATTAATACAAAACAGTATTCATAAAAGGTTAATAATAATCATCACTCATGGACATTTGAAATCAAGCGAAATAAAATGTTTAAATGTTTATTCTGTGAGATTATTGATGTGGGTAATGTAAAATCAACCAATTACACTATAACTCAGAGACGCTAAGCATTTCTGGTTGGATGAATAGTATAAAGATGATCTGCTATCTATAAAACGTCTAATCTGTTTGTAATATGCCGAATGTTTGATCACATGCATTTTTTATTTGATTGCAGGTGATTCCACGTCAGAGTGCAATCTCACTGAGTCGTACTGTGATATGTTTGGATTAGACTTTAAATGCGATGCGGATTACGAGTCCCGAATACCAATACCACTTGTTCCCCTACCTCATAAATGTGATGAAAAGGGCGATAAAAACGTGCTCTGTGTATCACCGCCACTGTCCGTATCATCGAGTCCGACAAGTGCCACTACACTGAAGGTTCTAGCCTACAACGTATGGAAGCTCCGTTATCTGTATTATCAAAGTGGACAATATGAGAGAACTTGCCGTATTCCTCAGAAGATATTTGAGCTGTATAATGATGTAGACGTGATTGTCTTCAACGAGGCTTTCATGGGCGGCTGCTTTTCTGAGCAGCATTTACCCATTGAAATTCCAATTGATATACCTATAATCCCTCAGCCTATCCCTCTTCGACTTGGAGGATGCTCTTTCAGGCAAATGTTGACTCAATATGGGTTTCAATACTTCACCAACACCCTAGGGCAGGATACGCGACAACTGCTGCCAAAAATAGAAAACGGCGGTGTTTTCATTGCATCTCGATGGCCAATTAACAGTACAAATGAAGTCATTTTTGGTAATACCGTGCGACCATCTCCAGATATGGTTTCGTCAAAAGGAGCGGTTTATGCCAATATTGAAAAAAATGTTGAATCAGTCACTAGAAGATACCACGTCATTGGTACCCACCTCCAGGCCTCGTTCGGGGAAGCTGGAAACAGTGTACGGGCATTACAGGCGAAGGAAATGCAACTCTTCATGGAAAGTCAGCATATTCCCGAAGACGAGCCTGTTATCTATGCCGGTGACTTGAACACTGACTTACATGGATCTGATGGACGTTGGGATCAAATGCTACAAATACTGGAAGCAGATATGCCAGAAATTGTTGGTGATCTCAATATAACATACGACTATGAGAATAATGATGTCAGGGGTGAAGGTGGGACTCAAACTGGCGGTAAATGGATCGATTATGTTATCTACAGTAATCAACACATCATGCCTAACTCTGCAACTCAAGAAGCTATCAAGTTCGTTGCAGATGAACCATTCCCTGTCTGTATGCGTGCCCTGCCAATTCAATTAGTGGATCCTGATGACGGCTTAATCCCTCTACCACTGGAAGTAGGTCAACATAGATATCCGTACCAAGACGAGTGTCTTGACTGGTGGGACATCACGGATTTGTCGGATCATTACGCCGTACTTGGAACATTCGACTTCTCATCTCCGATCCAACCAGAACCGCGGGCAACAGAGGCTCCTATACCTGGTATTCGCAATAAATATATTTATAATTATACTTTATGTTCAAATATAACACCCCATTCATATCCATCATTTGCTTGTAATGTGCTAGGCTTGATTGCATGCTTTATTTATTTATTTATTTATTTCTTTATTTATTTATTTCTTTCTTTCTTTCTTTCT